TACGCTGTTGGAATGCAAACATGGATATTCAGTTTGTGGTCGATGCATATTCATGTATTGTGTACATCATTTCCTACATTTCCAAAGCTGAGAGAGAGATGGGACTGCTCCTGGCAAATGCTCAGAAAGAGGCCTCCCAGCAAGGCAACCTTGATGCAAAAGAAGCTCTTCGACAACTTGGTAGTGTGTTTCTGCATAATCGTGAAGTTTCAGCTCAGGAAAGTGTGTATCGCCTGACTAACATGAGGTTGAAAGAGGGATCACGCAAGGTGCAGTTCATCCCAACTGGAGAACATGTGGTGAGAATGAGTTTTCCTCTACATGTCATACGGAAAAAAGCGGAGTGTGAGAATGACCAGGACATTTGGATGAACAGTATCACTGACAGATATAAAGGCAGACCAAAAATAGAAAACTTTTCAGAAATGTGCTTGGCAAGATTTGCTTCTGAATACAGAATTTTATCAAAATCTGAGAGCTCGTCTGCTGGCAGTATAGAGTTGGACAGGAAATTAGGATTCATGAAGAAAAGGACACGCACAGATGCAGCTGTTGTTCGGTATGCTCGGTTTTCACCCACAAAGGACCCAGAGAAATACCATCAAAGCATTTTGCAGCTGTTCCTACCACATTATTTGGATTGCCAACTAAAACCACCACCTTTTGGCAGTTACCAGGACTTCTACGAGACTGGCTATGTGAAGTTTTTCGATGATGAATTACATTCAGTGAAACGGGTCGTCGACTCCAATATGGCAAGTTTTGAAAAGGAAGCGGATGTGATAGACAAAGCTGAGGAAGATCTACAGTTGCATGGTGTAATGGAGGATGCATGGGCACTGATCTGTCCAGAGACTGAACGTGAACGGTTGGAGTGCCTCGCCAGCCAATCCAGTGTAACGCCAGAAATGAGTGAACACCGTGATGAGATACCAGATTTGTTACCGAGACCGGGTCGCCATATGTTCCAGGACAATCCTTGTGGTATGTCAAGGCAGGAAGCGCTGGCTTTGCTTCGCTCACTGAACAAGAAGCAGTCTGAGATCTTTTACAAAATAAGAAGCTGGTGTTTACAGAAGACACGTGGTGAAAATCCAGAACCATTTCATGTATTTATATCTGGACCCGGAGGTGTGGGCAAGTCTGTCTTGATCAAAGCAATACATTATGAGGCATCTTGTATCTTGTCAAAGTTGTCAGATAACCCGGATGAGAGGCACGTGCTGCTGACTGCTCCGACTGGGGTTAGTGCCTACAACATCAGTGCTGCGACAATACACGCCTGTTTCCACATTGCAACGGATGTGAAATTGCCTTATCAACCACTTGGAGATGAGAAGATAAATTCATTGAGAGCTGAACTGGGAAACCTGCAGATATTGATTATAGATGAGATTTCAATGGTAGATCACAAACTGCTTTCATATATTCATGGCAGATTGAGGCAAATCAAGCAAACTGGAGATTATTCTGCTTTTGGTAACGTCTCAATAGTTGCCGTTGGAGATTTCTACCAGCTTTGTCCCGTGAAAGGGAAACCTTTGTATGCTGAGACTAAAGGTGTCAATCTATGGCAGAATCATTTTGCTTCAGTGGAGCTGACGGACATCATGAGACAGAAAGATATGGATTTTGCACAGTTGCTGAATCGGCTAAGGAAACGCAAAAGGGGTGATGCAATGCTAGAGGAAGACATTGCTATGCTGAAACGACGTGTGACAGACCAAGGACAAGACAGTACTGCCCTTCATATCTATGCGACTAATGATGAAGCCGATCTGCATAACCATCGCATGCTGCAGAAGGTATGCTCAGACCCGGTCA